CTGTCTTTTTATTAACGGTTTCTTTTTCTTGAAAAATGAAAGCCATCTCGAGAAACAATCTTTTTGAATAATTGCTCTCCGTGGATAGGATTTTCACATTTGGAAAATCGAAAGAGTGTCCTGTTGTGTTAACATGTGTGGCTAGGGAACATCTATCAGGGTGTAACCTAATGTCACTCTTGTGAAGAGTTAAACGGCTGGAAACTTTTTGGGAGGTGTGACCTATATAAGAACCTTCACAGTCTAAACAATTAAGTTTGTAGACCACATCACTTTTATCTAAGTTTGGTACTTTATCTTTCAATGACTTGTACAGAGATCCCACAACTAGAGTGCTTTTATAAGCAATTTTTACATTTGGTAGGTATTGAGCAAAAATTCTGGTCAATTTGGGAGTGACGTCCTTAATAAATGGAAGTGATGCAAAAGATATATTAGGAATATTGTTAGTCGGTGAGTGGGAAACAGAGGTAATTTTCATATCACCTGTATTTTGGGAAGGGTTTACTTGTGTGTTGAGTATAACAGAGGATGTGTTAAAGATGATTTTCCTAAGTAAGGATTCGGGGTAAGAATTATCTAGGAACAACTGTAAAAGGATGTTGAGATTCTTCGTTCTAAAAATAGGGTCAGCTAGTTTACAAACTCTTGTGGTCATTTGTTTTACTAGATTAATTTTCATGCTTGACTTGTGGTAAGAGTGGTAGTTGAGATATCTTCCAGAGTTACACTTTTTTCTATACCAATCAATTGTAATGATGTTACCCAGTTCCCTGATGAATATTGTGTCGAGAAAAGGAACCGATTGGTTTTGATCCTCTTTTTCAAGAGTAAATTGAATGTGGGGGTCATAGCTATTAAAAATATCTAAGAGCTCACTTTCTAAACCTTGTGGGCACGACATAATAATGTCATCAACATACTTTTTAATAAAAGGAACGTTAAAAGGAACAACCTGAAGAACAATATCCAACAGATCATCCATTACATATGCAGCTAGAATTGGAGAGATACTGGCTCCCATAGGAGTGCCAAAGGTTTGTTTGTAATATTTGTTGTTGAAAGAGAAACAAGTGGAATGATATGATATGTTATTGAGATGATAGAGTTCTTGTTTAATTCCACTTGTTTCTCTTTCAACAACAAATATTACAAACAAACCTTTGGCACTCCTATGGGAGCCAGTATCTCTCCAATTCTAGCTGCATATGTAATGGATGATCTGTTGGATATTGTTCTTCAGGTTGTTCCTTTTAACGTTCCTTTTATTAAAAAGTATGTTGATGACATTATTATGTCGTGCCCACAAGGTTTAGAAAGTGAGCTCTTAGATATTTTTAATAGCTATGACCCCCACATTCAATTTACTCTTGAAAAAGAGGATCAAAACCAATCGGTTCCTTTTCTCGACACAATATTCATCAGGGAACTGGGTAACATCATTACAATTGATTGGTATAGAAAAAAGTGTAACTCTGGAAGATATCTCAACTACCACTCTTACCACAAGTCAAGCATGAAAATTAATCTAGTAAAACAAATGACCACAAGAGTTTGTAAACTAGCTGACCCTATTTTTAGAACGAAGAATCTCAACATCCTTTTACAGTTGTTCCTAGATAATTCTTACCCCGAATCCTTACTTAGGAAAATCATCTTTAACACATCCTCTGTTATACTCAACACACAAGTAAACCCTTCCCAAAATACAGGTGATATGAAAATTACCTCTGTTTCCCACTCACCGACTAACAATATTCCTAATATATCTTTTGCATCACTTCCATTTATTAAGGACGTCACTCCCAAATTGACCAGAATTTTTGCTCAATACCTACCAAATGTAAAAATTGCTTATAAAAGCACTCTAGCTGTGGGATCTCTGTACAAGTCATTGAAAGATAAAGTACCAAACTTAGATAAAAGTGATGTGGTCTACAAACTTAATTGTTTAGACTGTGAAGGTTCTTATATAGGTCACACCTCCCAAAAAGTTTCCAGCCGTTTAACTCTTCACAAGAGTGACATTAGGTTACACCCTGATAGATGTTCCCTAGCCACACATGTTAACACAACAGGACACTCTTTCGATTTTCCAAATGTGAAAATCCTATCCACGGAGAGCAATTATTCAAAAAGATTGTTTCTCGAGATGGCTTTCATTTTTCAAGAAAAAGAAACCGTTAATAAAAAGACAGATACCAAGAATTTAAGCAACTTATATTCATTATTGTTAACTTTAGATAAACATGAATCTACTAATACATACAATTCATCGTCAACAATATAAGTTTAATTATATATGAGATATACAATATCTCTCCTATTTCTAAAATAAGTCTTTTCATCTTTTCTTTTTCAATAAGTTCAGCTTCTATCAGGTATACTATCACCTTTACATCGTTATCATTTAAGATCTAACGTTCTGTCGTTTCAAGTTGGTAGCAACGAATTCACAAGCAATTCTTTTGTTTCTGATAAGAATATTTATAACCAAAATTTTATATTGTGACTACGTACATGTTTTGTAACTATTTTAACATAATTTTATTTAAATGTTTATGTATGTGTGTTCTAAGTGTTTTATGTATGTTAAAGAACGTTTTAAATCAATTTTTGGATAGTTTTCGCCATAGTTATAGGGGTCAAATGAGTTCCCAGTTTCATTTAATAAACATCAAGACAACAAACCTCAATTAGTGTAAGAGGCAAAGTAAGTCTTACTCTGTAATTTATACTAATTCTGTTTATTGTAGCACCCTGATGATGCAAATAAAGATTTGCGAAAGCTTGGTTAACTAAAAAGAGTACTTCTTTGTCCCATCTTCCGCTGCACACCCAAATATTGGAGTATTGTATATATATATATATATATATATATATATATATATATATATATATATATATCCGGTTTTTTTAGGCGTTACGCCCGTCCGGTAGGGATCTATGGAGGAGTATCACCGAGCCGCAAGCACTTATCTCTTGCCGTACTGCTCCACCATTGGCCGATCAGACCTCAGCATATTCTAGTCTAAGCCGCAGATTCATCTAGAATTTTAAACTGCTGCGTTAGACTTTTTGTTTTCTGTACACCGAGCTGGGGCTCGATCCCACATCCACTGAACTATTCGACAGTGAAGCGAATGAGAGGCAGCCGTACAGCCCGCTGAGCTATCTGACCGACATATCTGGGATACGAAATCAAAATAAGCAGAGACAATCAAACACTTGAAATACAGAGGCGAATAGGCTTAACTTGGGTAGCATTTGACAAATTAAGCCATATTCTAAAAAGTTCAATTCCCATGTGTCTCAAGCGAAAGGTTTATAACCGATGTGTTTTACCTGTACAAACTTATGGAGCAGAGACTTTAACACTCACGCAAAAGTCTGTGAATAAACTCAGAGTTACACAACGAGCCATGGAACGTGCAATGCTGAACGTGAGCCTTCGAGATCACATAACAAACCACCAAATTAGGCAAAGATCAGGAGTTAAAGACGTCATTGAAAGAACCACGTCGCTTAAGTGAAACTGGGCAGGGCACTTAGCCAGGGCACAAGATGGACGGTGAACAAGACGTATTATGCAATGGAGGCCCAGAAACTATAAAAGAAGCCGAGGACGACCACCGACTAGATGGACCGATGATATAAAACGTGTAGCGGGAAACTGGCTACAAGTGGCCCAGTGTAGAAAACACTGGAAAGAACTGAGGGAGGCCTATGTCCAGCAGTGGACGCGATTGGCTGATTGATGAAGCTATTTTAAAAATAAAAGCTCTCCTAATTAGAATACGTTATGTTGTTTATGCATCATGGTGCTTTTCACGTTTATTTTGCACATTGTATTGGAGTTTTTAAATAGGTTTTTTCCGACGTTTATGCAGAACGGGCATCTCAACACTAATGGCCCGCATGGTAACCTAAATACAATCCTCTAGATTTTAGTGTGTAGAATTATTAATCTACCACACCCAGATTTTAAATTTGATATATTTTCAAACTATAAAATTAAAATAAAACTTCCATTAAAGTAACATGAACTCATTTTGATCATTTGATCTGAAATAATTACTATTATGCCTGAGTTCATTATTTATTATTTTATTATTTATTTTTATTCATTCGCTACAATATTTAAGATTATTTTGATTCTGAAGAGATATTAATTGCTTCGAAAAAAAAAAAAAAAATAGTCAATAAAATAGTACTGAAGTATATATGTTAAAATCAAGTTGTTTTTTTAATGTTAAAATCAAGTTAAAAGCTCCTCTGTACTTATTTCTCCTACTGTATATTAGTACTATAGTACTAAAAATTAAAATAAATCCGGTCTCTAACTATAACCTCTAAACTCAAACATGGGACAACAATTCTTTAAAATATCATTTCAAATTCAATTACCAGCATTTTAAGAGGTGATGAACTAAATAGGAGGACCCATGCCACAATAAAAAAATTGATCTGATTTCATATAGTCGCTATTATATAGAAAATTTGAGATGGTAACAACAAATCAAATTAAGATTGAATTCAGAAGTTAAAAATGTGTATTAAAATAATTTTTCCAAGTAGTTTCGATGTTATATGAATTATATGAATTATATTATAAAACCAGCAACCAAAATGTTTGAAACCAAGTAACTGTAGATTATTTCAGGAAATAGATATGATTTTACAATATATTTTAGGTCCTTAATTCTTAAGATATAAAAAATGAGCGCTGTTACCATATTGATATATTACATTTATATAAAATATAATAATAGAATAGTTATATTGGTACCCGCTTTTCCTGTGTTGTGTGACATCTAAGATATATTACAAAGGTTTTAACTACGTATTTAATTAAAAAGTTTGCATCTCAAGCACAACTCTCCTGTTTTCACTACTTGTACTGCTGTTTTCCACATCTACACACGGCGAGATCGCATTAAGTGATCTCCTACCTTCGGATCAGTCACATTTGAAAGTGACATTCCTGGATCCGCTAGCTACAGCGGGTGCTGCAACTATTGCAGCTAACCTAAAAACAATATACAAATATTAGCTTTTCTTTAACAAAGTTATAGAACTGCAACATGAAATCAAGTCGTTAGAAGCAAATTTAATACTCTATCGTTGTCTGTCTCTTCCTTTGAACATCATTCGATTACGTTTGGTACAAAAAGTACAAAATTATGTTAAAAGAAATATAAAAATTAGTATATACTATATCATGCTTAGTATTACACAGTAGGTATTAGATTTGCTTCTGTTTGATTAATTTTTAATGCGTTATTAATAAAACAAGTGACCTTCCAATATACAGTGTGCTAAAATATAAAATTTACAATGAGTTATCTTATGAACAAAAGCTGATATCGAAAAATGCCTGAAACCGTTTCTAGAATAGTAAGGATTTACTAAAATGACATGACAGAGAACTCACTCCCACCAAGCCCCTGTGCTCCACCCACCACAACAACAAAAGGATAAATTGCAAACCCCTACTTGTGATACAACATTGAAAAGACTGTAGAAAATGCTATCCGATGGTATAAATAATAATTATATAAGGTGAAGCGATAATTATGAAACTTTGCTTTAAATGGAAAATATTATCAAACCATCGTGACAACTACAGCTGAATGACAGTACCGATCGTACAAATAATGAAAACTAATAACATTTAAAATTCTCAATAAAACCAAAAATTATTGAATCTGACAGAACCTAAAAAATAGATGTTTTCAACTTGTTTTCCAAAAACAGCAAATTAAGTTTTTATTTTGCAAAAAAAATTCTGACGGGCACTTATTAAAAATCACCAATTTAATTATTAAAAATATTAAACCGGGAGCATTGCAAATACAAAAGTCATAGTAAGCTAGCTGATATTAACATCCTGTATAATTATTAAACAATAATTATACAGGATCATCAACAGAATAAAGAAAAACCTCATTAAATTTTCCATTTAAGCAAAAGTTTTTGCTTCAACTTGTATAATTATTATTTATACAATTGGATAGCATTTTTAATAGCCTTCTTAATGATGTATCACAAGTAGCAATTTGCAATTTAAACTTTTCTGGTTATAGTGGGTGGGGCCTAGGGTATTGATAGGGGTGAGTTCTTCATGTCAACCAACATGTTCATGTTCTTCAAGCAACAGAAATATAAACTTTGCAACCAGAGATTTAAAACGTTTTCTAAATCGTCAATCAGTTTAAAACGCAGGCCGTCATGTTTAGAAAGCGAAGACAAATACCCGACATGGAACTAAATCTAGCAAACGAAAATATAGAATATAGCAATCAAGCTAAATCTCTAGAAGTGACCCTTGATCACAAGCTCACATTCACTGAACATGTAAACCAAGTGGTACGTAAAGCGAAAGTAACAAAAATATAACTTATCTCGCTAATAGGCAGGAAAAGCAAATTAAACTTCTGAACGAAAATGAGGGTAGTAAACAGCATAATCCTTCCAACGCTAACATACGCATCAGCAGCATGGAGACACACCTGTAAATCAAATAGAAAGAAACTGCAAGTAGCACAAAACTAGCTAATCAGAGAAGCACTTAATGTACCGAGATATGTACCTCTACGATACCTATACAGAGACACAAAGCAGAAAAGAATCCTTCACACAATGAATGAAAAAGCATATGACATCTTTAATGCGATAAGCAACCACCCCAACAGAAAGCTGCGAGAGCTAATAGATTAGGATGACACATTAGGACGACACATAGACGGCCTAAACAACAAATAGCTGGATATGTCCCAGTAGCATAAACACAAACGTAACAACTGAGATAGGCACAGACTAGTCAAAGGCAACGCGGGTTAGAAGTAGAAAAAAAAAGGGTAAGAACCGGGGTCTGGCATTTTAGAGTTCCAGACACCAGGAATTGCTCACCAAAAAAATATTTAGTTTTAAGTCTTAGTTGTAGCATAAAAATCCGATAAAATACCTTCTAACTTCGCGAGTAAATTATAGTGACAATGAATAGTATATTCATAATCCGGACATGATAGTTACGTGATACTGACTCCTATCACACATATATTAACACGTGAAAATAGTACAAAGAGAGCCTTATGCTCTCTTCGTACAGCCAACTTTTTGGCTTAGGCCCTTAAGGCAGGTCTAACTGGGAGACCAGTACGCGACCTTCTGAGCATCGAGGCCATTGTGCGGAAAGCGTGGGCTCGGTGGCCAGACCAGTCAGGCAGCTGGCGAGGAGAACAAATTAATTTTTGCCAAATCGGCAGCTGAGTGCCGAGTGGCACACACTTCTTAGAGACACCAGGTCCAAAGCAATGCTTATACCAAGTAAATTCAGTAAAATAACTAGGGAGAAAAGCTTTTAGCTACCACTTAATTTCAGGTGGCTTAACCACAACCATGTAGATACGGAGGGTGTTGTTCATTACCCAAATCGCCCGACGTAAAGTTCATAAGCCTTCACTACGTATGTCAGACGTAGTGAAGGTGTGGAGGAAAAACCTGGGGGTCAGATAGGTACCGATCCAGAATGGTTAGCTCTTCTGGAGCGAGACCGGTTTGATCTTCGGACATGTGTATCCCACTGATTAGCAGCGGTATACACATGTCACTAGGGGTTGGGTTGAACAATTCGCGCGCGCGCGCGCGTGTGTGTGTGTGTGTGTGTGTGTGTGTGTGTGTGTGTGTGTGTGTGTGTGTGTGTGTGTGTGTGTGTGTGTGTGTGTGTGTGTGTGTGTGTGTGTGTGTGTGTGTGTTAGTTTCCTCTTACTATTCTAGAAACGGTTTCAAACATTCTTTGATATCAGCTTTTGTTCGTGAGATATAGCCTATTGTAAGTTTTAAAATTGACACACTGTATATTTGTTTGTTGAGAATTAAATTTAATCTAATAATGTAATTTTACAATTAAGTCAAATTTTTTACCATAATAACAAATAACATGTAAACATAAAAATAACAAGAACATATTACAGAAGATTGGAGCGTGGCATGTATAAGCTCTATCCACAAAAACAGGACAAAAAATAATGTAGAAATTAAAGAGGTAGAAGACTAATTAGCTAATTGCTTAGGTTGTCTTAATCAGTCAATTAATCTTCTTGTTGTGCGACTTCACTACTAAAGGTTGGCTGCAAATTCGTCTCTATCTTCTGCTATTCTTAAAAGTGTCTGTATGTTTAACCCGGTCCAGTTGCGAATGTTTTCCAGCCAGGATATTTTTCGTCGACCAGGACTTCTTTTTTTCTTCGATTTTCCCCTTCATTATCAGCTGCAACAACTCTTATTTTTTGTTTTTTAGTATATGCCAAATATGCTGTCCTTCTTTTAATAGGGGTCAAAAGTTTTCATCAAGTCAACAATCCAAGCTTCATTTTAGTCCAGCCTTGTCTCAAACCTCTATTATCTGCTGAGCATCCGTGTTACCACAGCCTGTCGGTTTTAATAGAGATTTCTTACTAAGTTAATATAATTTTTATCGAGTCCTTTTCGCTTGAGACATTCCATGAGAATGTTATTTAACTTTGTCAAAAGCTTTCTCATATATATATATATATATATATATATATATATATATATATATATATATATATATATATATATATATATTATTTGTAGTCTCAGCAATTGGTCTGTGTGAAATAAAACTCTATTTGTTATTTCTCAATATTTCGTCACGATTTTGTGACTTCTTCAGGAGAAAACTGTAAATTTATTATAATTATTATATGTAAACAAAATGAATATTTCAATACTTACAACTTAAGATTAAAAATTTTAAATTTTGATAACATATCCAATTAGATAAATGACATTTTTTTGATTTATTTTATTTGGGAGTTATGGTAACCGCAATATTTTATAGAGTGAATTCCCATTGTACAATTTTTAGCGAATAAGTTTTAATAAACAATTACATATTGTGACAGTATTATCCATATAATAAGGTGCAAAAGTAGAATATTGAGAAAAAATCAGGAACATGGTAAATTGATCTATAAAATGTAATTGATGGTACGTAGTCAGTTATTGGTCTGATGTTGTTAGATACTGATATTAAGATCTATCATATCATATATTGTTTAGTATATTACAGTAGATATTACTTAAATGGTTGGTGTCTGTCTTATAATTGATAGATTCTGGAGTTTTATTAATGTGTACCATTTCAAGGAAAAGTCGATTTTTATAATTATCAATTTGTTCTAATATTTTTACATTATTAAAGTCAAAGTTATGTCCTGTCTTTAAGTGGTGGTCTACTAAGGCACAAGAGTTTTTTCGTAAGTTACAGTCACTTTTGTGTTGAGTGACACGTTGTTTAAGCCACTGTTGACTTTGTCCAATATAACAACTTTGACATTGACTGCAATTTATTCTATAAATTATATTACTCATTAGTGAATTTGGAGTTTTAACTTTTATTTTTGAGAACAACCTTGAATTTAGAAGTGGATTATATTTAATTAATTTAATGTTCGGAAATGTTTTGAAAAGTGGGACAATTTGGTCTGTTAAATTTTTTATGTAAGGTATTTTTTTGTATAAAACTGGTTGTGGATTATTTATTAAAGCTCTATTGTGAAAGTGAGTGTTATAAATAAGTTTTTTTAATATATGTTTTGGGTAGCCATTGTTTAAAAACATTTCAAAAAGTTTCTTTAAATTGACATCTAGGAAACTCCGATCACAGATTGCCGTTACACGATTTTTCATAGATATAATTGTGTTGAATTTTTAATTTCTAGGATGATTAGAATAATAATTTATAAATCTGCCGGATGCAGTATCTTTTTGATACCAATCTAATATGAACTGCTAACTGCAAAAAGGGGACATCTGCATAAAAGTAAATTTTACAGGAGAAGGTAAAAACTAAATAATTATATATCCAAATCACTTAGAATCAGGAAACTTGGTATACATGTTCAATATAACTTTATATACAATGATGTAAATAAGTGGTAAATAATTTTAATTATATTGGTATAATATTCACATTTTAATGTTGTGTAGAAGTCCCCTTTT